CCGCCCCGAGATGGCCACTAATTAGTTTCCCTGCTGCTTTGCTAGGAGCGGTCTTAACATCCGTGCCCTGGGGTGTTCTGCAAGTTTCGTCGTATGTGTCCTTCAGCACCGCAGTTCCAGCACTTAACGGTCGGTTTCTTATCACCAATATTCCGTCTCAAGGCGTTCAGTTGTCTAGTTAAATCGTCTAGACGAGCAGTGACTTGATTCTCTGGCTGCTGGACTTGAGCAGCTCTCACTGGGGTGGCGGTCTCGACGAGTGGCTTGCTGGGCTGCCTCGAATTTCATGGCGTACACTAAAGCACTTTTCAAATCTTTAACATCCGCCATTCGTAGAGCTTTCTGTATTTCGGGATCCCGGATGCCATCGATAAAGTACTGCAGGGACAGGATTTCCCTCGTTTCTCTCGGGCACTCCGTAAAGGCGATGGTGTGGACAGCCTTTTCAACATCTGTGGCGAGCTTCCTGAAGTGATTCGGTGGGCTTCTGTTGACGGGATTTTAATTGAAGCCTGCTGTAGTCTTTTAAACATTTCTCGCCAAAGCGCAGCTTCCAATGCGCCGGATAAAGAGCTTCGAAGTCTAGCCTTTTGGTTTTCTGGAAGCGTCTGCAGGATATCCGCTGCGTCTGCTCTCAGAGAAGCGGCGAGATGGCAGGCCTTAGCTTTGGGAATCCCATCCATTCGCATCCGCTAAACGATAGAAAATTGTGTCTTTATACACTTGCCAGGAGGTCTTCCCATCATATGTGGATAGTTTCTCAGAACGGAACGAGCAGGCATCGGTAAAAATTTAAAACCCTCAGAATTGCTTCCTTTCCGTTCGCTATGCTCTTCTTTAAAGTGTCAACTTCTTTGGCACGGCAGCAGAAACCCTATCATCAATTTGTTGTTCGACGGCAGAAACTCTTTTTCTTCAATTTGGTTGTTGGAAGCCGAAACTCTTCCTTCTTCGACTCGTTGCTCCACAGCCGACACTCTATTCTTCTATTTCATCTTTGACAGAAGAAACCTTTTCTTCAATTTGCCCGAACTTTATTTTCGAACCAGCATCTATTCTGCTTCCATAGCATCAAATTTGGTTTCTATTATGCAGGCAATTTCTCTTTTCATTTCGTATTGACCTGCTTTCAATCTTTACTTGTACGGCTTTTATTCGTCTTTAAAAGTTACTTGACCAGCTTCCAACTTTTCGTGAACGGCTTCCATTTCCTTTTTAACGGATCTCATCTCTCCTTTAACGGAATCTTGGCCCAATTTCATATCTTCCTTAACAGATCCTGGCCCAATTTCTTTCTGATCCTGGTTTCAAACGGATTCTGGCCCAATTTCATTTCTTCCTTAACGAGTTGACGGCCCCTTCCATCTTTCTTGGAAAGCAGCAAATGCAGTCATCATTTGCCTGAATTGTTCTTCCATCGCTCTTGTTATTGGCATTCAAATCCCACTTCTGACACCAAAAATTGTTGCGTGCGTACGGGTTCGTTATGAAATGAATGCACAAGTCCGATGAAAAATGAACAAAAATTTATTATTATCACAACAAAAATGCTTAAATTTTCTCAAATTATCATGCAGTATTACAATATCTCACAGTAGTTATCTTTTAACTACTCAAATGTCCAATAGAACGTAATTCAAAACAGCTAAAGAACGCTAATCCGCGAATTCGCTACAATCAACAAGCAGTAGTTTTCTAAACAACAACAAACTAAGCAACTACTACTACGAACTGAGACGTTTTCCTCCTTTCCTTTTATAAGATTTTAAAATCACGCGCTAGAATTTTCCAGTACTTTCTCGAAATCAAAAAGAGATATTTATTTATTTAATGCACGCGCATCTTGTATTTTCAATTTTCCTCCGGCTTAGCTTTCTTTTAATATTCGTCACGCGCCTGCACTGCGCGAGAAATAAAACCATTTAAATTATAATTGAACTAACATTAGCTTTTTAAATACCAAATTCGAAACAATATATATATATATATATATATATATTGAATTGAATTATTTAGTTAACACAAAGCATATGATGGCTGTCTAACTAAATTTATACAAGGTCTGATTGAAATCTGCCAGCAAGCGGTAGAATACCAAGTTTCAATTCTCCACTTTCCCTATCATCAGGATTTTATAAGACAGAAAGACACTTTTTTTTCTTTCACATCATTTCTAAACTAAATTATTCTTAACTGACCAATTATATGTTTAAAAATTTAATAAGATCAATTTAACATTGCAACCAAAGATTATAATAATAAGAAACAAATATATGCTACAAGAATAAAGTATTTGATAAAGTCACAATACAGTTATAAACTAAGAAGTAAAATTATTTTACAGAATTTTGATTTAAATAATAGAAAAGACAGCCTAAATAATCTAAAATTTTTATTAACTTTATTAGAAGATTAATTTTTGAGATTAGGACATAGGGTAATTTTTATTAGAATTTAACAACTCTTCTTGAGAAAAAACAATTTAAGTAAAAAACAGATGTTTCAAATCATAACTTTTAAAATTAAAGTTCTTACACTTTTGCATACAGAGGGTCATCAGCTTAGAACTGCATTTGGTTTTGACTCACCAGTTGCATCGTTGATCTCAACAAAAAATAATAGGGGGAAAAAAATCAAATAAATTAATGCTTGCACAAAGTTTATTTACAGCAGAATATTGTCTTCTTATTGCTAGCATTATAGCTAGTAAAAGCCTGACAGCAATAACAGTTTTTGCTATGATTTGTTTTTCTGGCTTTTTCATAAATATTGTTAGTTTTGTCTCAGCTGTTTGTTTTTTCTTTTCATCATAAATTTCATGACAAGGGTATAAAATATCATTTGTCATTTTTTTTTTTTTTTTTTTTACACTTGTGAATCTCTTGAAGCATCTATGGCTTCCAGTTTAGCAAGACATTGATTTAGCATTGTAAAGCATTCAGATAAATCCTATGTGGTAATTTTTTCTTCTTCCGTCTCACTTTCTTTATCTTTTTTTCTCCCTCTCTCTTCTTTCCTCATGTTTAATTCTTTCTTGCTCTAACTCAATTAACTTTTCATTGGACAGTTCGCTAGACTCTTGGATTAGCAGCAATTCATTATTTTCAACTTTACATTCGAAGGAAAGATCTTTAGCATCTGTAATAATATTTTTATAAATTATTTGGGGACCTTTCTTACTGTCAAGTCATTTGAAGTTATTTACAAAACACTTAATTCCATTCACAATGTCATAGTAACACTTTCTCAAAGAATAGCAAGATTTTTTTAATGCACTTTAAAATGTCATAATTTTTTCAGAAACCACACAATGAAAGCTACATCAATTACTGCAATAGCCTGAGCAAATGTGATATTCCAGTAATTTCCATTAAATGCAGCAATGCAACTCTGATCCATAGCTAGGATCAACAGTGCTGCATCTGGAAGCAAAACATAGTTCACAATGGGATTCAAATGTGCAAAATGACCAGATGCACTATTCAAGAGTCATTAAGTTTTGAAAGGAACTCTTTTCTTCAGACAATATTCTCATGTTTGTGGAATAAAACAAATTTAAAATAAAATCAATCAGTGCTTTGGCATTAGATAAAAAATAAAGAGGCAGATTCACTTATTTACATTCCTAATTAACATTTTTAAATGTCCTTGGGATTTTTAAATGATAAATTAGGAATGGTGTTAATTTAAATTAAAAGCCTGAAACAGTACTATCTAGCAGAAGATCCTTATATGCTTTCAACTACTGGTATACCTTTTGCTTCTTTATGAATGTAGGTTTCAGTAGGCCCACATTTCCAAAACAAATCAGTTTCAACATTGACATTTTGTTTGGGTTCACAGTCATCATCAATAATTAATGTTATTCAAAGTTCTATAAACTTATGCACTCTTTCTGTACTTGAACTAGATACCTCATCAGACCCAAAAGTATTATGCAGCTGAAATCTTTGTTTGAAGTGTGTAAATCAACCTGAGCTAGCTATAAAATTTTGGCTGTAATCATCATGAGCTTTTAAAGTTTCAAATAAGTCACACACTTTTCTTTGAACAGAAATCAGTGACAACAGCAGTCATTTTTGCAGTTGGCCAGTCATCCATGCATCTAATAATTCTTCTATTTTATGAACTGATCCAGTTTGTTGTTTAAAAATTATCTTCGGCTGCATAGAAGTGGATCCTTTTACAACACAATGAATTCTGCCTTTGTCCTTCACAATTATCGACACTGTGGAATAAGATAGTTTCAAATCATATGTACCTTTCCACCCCACCTTTGTATTACTTTTCATATACACTAATCATACTTGAGTATACTAATCATATGCACCTTTTCATTTCCATGTCTAAATTAATTATTTTTCCCCCTAGCTTGCTGATTGCCAAGTGATATTGATTTTCTCTTCAGCACCATTTTATAGACTCATTATCACAAAACTATATAAACACGAAGGAAAAGATTTGCTTTAAAACTGATGCATGCGTACTGACTAAATGGCAAGGTGGGACAATAGCTGTGAGTAATGCACACTTAATTTCAATTTTTTTTTTCCCACTAAGAATCGGTGGTAAAATGTATTCTTATTAAAATGGTTGTAGAGCTGGTTGGATATAAGTCAACTAGGTCGTAAGTCAGTGACCACCAGAATTACATGTAATGAAATTTAAAAAATAAATAAATAAATCTCTATTATTTCTTCCATACTTCCATAAATTTTATACTGCAGAAATTATTCTTTTCTATCTTTTTTATTTTTTACATTTTTCTACTAAGTTCAAAAACAATAGTTTTAATTTGAACTATTCATTGTCATATATCTCAACAAATCATAATATAAGTAATTGTACATTTTAAGCTAAATTACATTTATAAAGTGATATAAAAATAAAATATAAATTTTCATGAAAAACTAAAATTTCATTTAAAAGTTTAAAAATAATCAATACCTCAAAAATTCAAATTGAAAAACATGCTATAACTCACGATTTTTATACTTTACCTTTATATGATCTAAAATGATTTAAAACCACTTCTTGAAGTTTTTCAAGCTTTGGATGGCTAGGTAAAACTATTTTTCCCACTCTTTGATCATTCTAAAAGAAAATTATACACAAATAATTAGAATAAAAATTCTTCTGAAATTAACATAATTCAATAGTGCAGAATTAGCAAGATGACTGTAACTGTTTCATTTGAAATAATAAACAAATCCTTATATCTAATGCACAAAGACAGTGATTATAATGTGGTGAACAAATTACCCATGGTTTACATTGTTGGAAATTTACAAATTATGAAAAACTGATTATAAAGAATTATTCAAGTAACTGCTAGATACACTAATTTCTCTAATAATTATTAAATTCATGTATAATTATTCATAAAACTAAAAGCAAAAAATTAGCTAAAGAAACTAGGTTAGTACATTTTCATCTGAATCAGCAATATAATTTTCTTTCACAATGTTGATCATTTCATCAAAGTCTTCATTTTTCTGCAATTCGGTTCTTGCATGTGGTATAGATTTATCACCATTTACTACACCTATATAAAATATAATAAAGTAACTCAATAATTTTACAATTTGTTAACTTACAAATGCATGAACTGACATTAAATATTAAATGAGTTCACAGAAAGAATATTTAAAAATCTTTACAGAAAACAAAGCAAAATAAAGTATGTATACCCATACACAAGATTTTAAAGAAAGCATATTATTAGACTTTTCAGGTAAGGTAATCACACATAAGGCTAGTTCAGTAACAAAAACCTAACATTATAATCAAAGTTTCCATCTTAATTCAATATCATATATTGAAAAAAAAAAAAAAAAAAAAAATTTGTATATCATTACAAATTGTTTTTTCATGTGTTGCTATCATTTTACTTTCTTAAAATTTTAGTAGTTTTTGAGTAATTTGTAAATAAAGTGTTTTACTATCATCCAGTATTATATAATTCTTTATATTATTATTAGAAGTGAAAACTACTAAAATATATGAAAGAAAATAACAAAAATATAAGATAATCAACTCAGTTAGAAGCAGAAAATGTGGCACAATATAATCACATAATATGAAAACAAACCTTTTATAAGGTTGTATTTGGTGATTCTGGAACTTCCAGCCTATAACCTTACTAGACAAGTAGTGAGTTAGCACATTTGACTTTGAAGAGTTTAAACAATCTTTTAATGAACTGAACTTGTACCAAAACAGGCACATTTTCTGCATTGATAAACCAAATAATCTTACAAGTAGCACCTGAATTAAAAGAATGGCGGACAATAATTGTCATTACCAGGATTCGGTGATTGGGTTCCTTCATCCTCAGTCACTTTTTAAAAGGGGGAGTATATAAGGTATTTTCTCTCTGCTTTCTGTGTGCCTTTGTGGCATAACTGGAAGCAAGTGTGATGTGTAATTGGGAAGTTGAATTTTAGAGAATATTATTTCATTTTAATAAAAAAAGTTATACATATATATATACACACACACATATACATATATACTTAGTAATACTATCTTAAATCAAATACAACATACGTATTAAACATATTAAATACAACATATTAAAAATATATGTACAGATACAAAAGATCTTCAATGCAAAATTCTGCTACTTATTAAAATTCTAAAAAATAATCTAGTACCTAATCGCTTTATTAATCATTGTCTTAAAAGAGGTGTTAAATATTCTATCTAAATCATTTAACTGATAGGGATATGAAAATTTATTCCTAAACCTGAAAAGGCGGTATAAGTTGGATGACTATCAGTTGGAGGATTTGTAAATAGTGTAATTACAGAAATAATTATATATAATGTAAAAAAGCATTGTTTTCTGGCATTTTCTTATTCCTTTTGCTTTTACTAAAAAAATGAGCCTATTTCAATACTCTAAGTCTGCTCAATAGCTTGTTTAGCAGTGAAAATTACTTCTTCTTCTTCTCTTACTCGTTTCACAATGACAATCAGCAAAATTTTAATAGTCGCATTTACACTCGCAAAAAAGCTCCACAACTACTTCCATCCCACATTCCAAAAATAGCTTCCCAAAGGTTACTGGCTGTAATAATTTAAAGGGTCCCCACTGCTGCTCTCTACGCCTTGGATCACATACTAAACTCCTTCTGAGTTAGAAAACAGATGCGAACACTTCACTGTGCTCCCACTAGAAAGAACATAAGTTAATTATTTTCATATTCTGGCCTTTTATGTATATTATGTCCATTTAAATTTGTACATTTTCTTGTACCTCATTTGATAAATATCCTTCATTTTTTTCAACTTCTATTTCATTAATTTTGCAAAGATTGCATTGTTTATTATGTTTATAACGATTACTTTGAATTATATTTCATACATATGGCAAAGATTCAATTCTGTTTAGTATGTTATAAAAACAGCTTAATTAACATCCATGAAAGCGAGGGTGTCGGGGGACACTTTACTCAAGTAAAAAAGAAATTATTTTTTACTACTACTTAATCTAGCAAAGAAATTTTTTTATTACTACTAAATTTGGCAATAATATCTCAAGATTTCTAAAAAGACCATTAACTTAATGGAACTGCTACATTCATAATGAATTCTTTATAGTACTTTAATTCAGTTCACTTTAATCTCAGTAATTGGATTAAAACTCAACTTACACCTTCGCATTTATTAATTATTGTTAACTGAATGGGAGCTAGTTTGTTCCTGTTGAGAAGTCAACCAATTTCTGATCACTGATGATAATTACTTAGTTTATTAATTTTCATTTTAAAAGTTTTCATTTCTATTTTTCATAATTAAAATTAAAGTTCCTCTTAAAAATATTATTTTCGGGATTCAATTTCAATGCTTCTGGGATACTTCATTCAGATACATTCTACTAACTTTATATTAGGAGATAATATACTCAATATTACTTTAGTAAATAAATTATTATTATATCGCTTTGTAGCTATTGCACAAGTATTAGGAAATTTACTTCAATTACAATTAATTTCAATTGATATATACAGCACAAAGTCTTTAATCCGGACGTCCATAATCAGGAATGATCTATAATTCGGACCTCAAAGCTACAAACTTTCTACGCATGGGCATATGTGTTTACGCATGCGCATAATACGCTTACGCATGTGTGTTTAATGTATAACAGACGGTATAAGCTAGGCTAAAATTATCTATTTCAATTAATGTTGCAGATTGCGTTGTTCCTTAGTCTTCTAACTGGATCCGGCTTATTATTTTTTGCAGACTGTTAGAGCAATTTTATAAAAAGTAAGCTTGAACTTTCAATTATGTCAAAAAGAATTTCTGATTCTGGAGCTCAGAAAGGATCTACAAAGCGAAAGCATGTTTCAATGTCCATCAAACAAAAAAGTGGAATTGCTGCAAAAAATGGATAAAGGCATGAAGAAAGTGACAGAGTGGTTAGTGAAAATGAAAAACTTTCGATTGACAAGTTAGTTGGTATTCTCGGCACAGCAATTACAGGACTTGAACAGCAGAACTTTGTAACTGAACAAGAAATTATGTCCGCTTATAGAATGAAAGAGAAAGTATTAACACATAAAATGAAGCAACTTACACAACTTACATTGAAAGAAATGTTTAATAAAGTAAAAAAATAAATATTAAGCTTTTTTTTGTAAATTTTGATACCCTTTAGATCATAATTGCTCTTTATTTCATAAATTATGGTTTCATATTTTTAGTTTTATAATTTCTGCATGCCATCTTACCAGATTTAAATTATCTATAATCTGGAAAAACCCCTAATCCGGAATCGCCAAAGTCCCGACGAGTCTGGATTAAAGACTTTGTACTGCATATACATATACATGTATATACTGTTTGGAAAAAAATGGATACTTTAAAATTTCAACAAATTACTAGTAACACTATATGATATATTCAAACAAATTTCATAAATATATTGAAATGAATGAACTATTCACATTTATAAAGTGCCTATCCTCCTGAAAGAATCAAACATGTGCAATTGTTTACATGTTCAAATTCCCTCGATTCAACAAAAATATTTAAAAAAATCTTGGAACTAAAAGCAATATTGAAGCTCAGGGCTTTGTGGAACATTATTTGAAAATATAATGCATTTTAAACTGACATTTACCATCATTTAAAAACTTAAATGAAACATTCCAGTTTCAAATCAAATTGGTATCATCACAGGCCTTAAAACTAAAAAAAGCTATCACAAATACGATACTGTGAGGGGAGAATTGCACTATCATGTACATGTGATTCTGGTTTTGAATGAGTTACGTTGACAGTAATCATTTGCAATAGCTGCTAATGCTGTCTGAAATTTTCATATAGGAATATGTTTTAAATTTTATTAATCAACTCTGTGAATGATTTTATGTTAACTATTTTATTAATAACTACAGTTAAACAACTATTTAATCAAAAAGTATAATAAAAGCACAAATCAATTGAAACTAAAAGAATTCTATACATTTTATCCACAATCTTTAATCTTAATAGGGATCTAAATTTTACCACATAGCGAAATATTATTCAATTTTATTAGCATTAGAGTAAATATACAAAAATTAGAAAAAGAAAAATTTAAATTATTACAGTACAAAGTCCGAGATCTGGAATGATCTAAAATCCCAACCTCAAACCTTTTTTTTTTTTTTTTTTTGTATACTTTACGCATGTGCATTTGATTTTTCCTTCCCTGATAAAACATGTGGAGATTTTCACTTAAAAATTCCGATTCTTAATTTCACTTGGGCACTAAATAAGATACCTCATTATGAAAAAACAATCATGTAAGCATAAATTTGTGAGATTAATAATTTGGCTCTGTAGTCGAGTATCTGGTTGGCATACATGTCAAATCGAAACATTCACCTACTAGTATTTTATATCCCTGATGAGTCATTATTTATTATATTTTGATAGTAATTAATTAGCAAGAGTATGGCAACCTTTTATGCTAACATTACACTTGGCAATGATTACAGATTTAAGTTCAATGCGCTAAGAAATGTTGACGAGGAAAAATTTAACAAAAATTTCTTTTTATAGCTAGAAAATAGATTTTGTTAATGAAACTCATAGGCTAAAAGATTACATTTAGTGATATTTAATTAAGAATAACTGATATATTATTCGCATAAACTCAGAAGCGGCGGCAGAATATGGCCGTACCGGACGAGAAAATTAGAGAAGACAAAATTTTTGGAATTTGGGGATGCACCGAGCGGCAATGTTAAGTAGTGAGAAATTTTTTTCTAATTTAGGGAAAGCACTGAGTTTAGAGGCAGTGAAAATTTAGAACTTAGGAAGGTGCTTTGTAGCAGAATTTAGGACCAGCAGAGACAACACCAGGCGGTATCTAGCACCAGCCCTGGATAAAGCCTTAAGTATATGTGGGAGTTTATTTATTCAGGACTCAGATTAGTTTAAAGCATGTGAAAGAAATAGATGTAGGTATAGTAAATAACTAAACTAATACAATTCAGGCTTAATTCAGTATGCAATAGAAGCAAGACAAAATTTAGTGGAACAAATGGCAAGACCATTCAAGAATTTAAAAAATATTTTAGCATAAAATCTGCTGTGTAGAGCATTGTAAGATTATGGAAGGATGCATCTCCAGATACATTAAAAAATGCTTGGCATTATTTTTAGCCAGCTACCATATTTCATCATGAGGACGATGGAAATGATAACAGTGAATTTGAAGGTTTCAGAATATCGCAAACTAAAGGTGAAACTTTCCAGTTAATGGATTTTGTAAAGAAATGTAGAGAAGCAGTAATAACTTAAGATGATATAACAGTTGTTTTTCTTTGCGATGACCATTCCCCAATCATCAGTCAATTAATGGATGGCGAAATCTATAGTATGGTTTTAGATCCAGAAAATACTGCTACTGATAGTGGAGAAAGTGACAGGTTATTAAAAACGAAAAAATTTCGATTGACAAGTTAGCCGGTGTTCTCGACACAGCAATTACGGGACTTGAATCGTGGAACTTTGTAACTGAACAAGAAATTATGTATGTTTATAGAATTAAAGAGAAAGAATTAGCACAAAAAAAAAAGCAACTTACATTGAAAGAAATGTTTAATAAAATAAACAAATAAATATTAAGTGTTTTTTTTTTTTTTTTTTAATTTTGATACCCTTTAGATCATAAATGTTCTTTATTTCATTAATTACAATTTCATATTTTTAACTGAATAATTTCTGCATTCCATCTTACTAGATTTAAATTGATGATCTAATATGCGGAAAAATTCCACAACCGGAATTGTCAAAGTCCCGACAAGTCCGGATCTCGGACTTTGTACTGTACTAGGTATAGAGAATATTCCTAAAATTTAATCGGCAAATAATTTTTGCTTTTTAAATTTGTATGTAAAATTAGTCAATGGTGTTAAATAATTCAATCTGAAAATAAGAAAACTTTTTAATTATATATTTATTGAATGAATTATTAATCCAAAGCATTTTTATAAACATTATACAGTACAAAATCCGAGATCCAGACATCCAATACTTAGTATGATCTAAAATACGGACTTCAGAGCCACCACCAACTTTTTTTTTAAGGAATTTTTTTTGTATGCTTTATGTATGCGCATTTCATTTCTTCCTCCAATATAAAACATGTGGAGAGTTCCGATTCTTCATTTCACTTCATTTCATTTCCATAAAATACCTCCTTATTCAAGAAACAATCATTTTTTAGCATAAATTTATGTGATCAATAATTTGCCTCCGTAACTGCATATCTGCTTGGCATACATCTCAAACCAAAGCATCCTACAGAGCAACATTGTTGATTTTAAACTACTAATATTTTATATCCCTGATGCCAACATGGCGAATCATTATGATATTTTGCTTTCAATGCCGCAAGTTTATTAACACATGAAAACTTGAGTAATGACTCATACAACGATGTTTAAATAATTTTTTTTTATATTAGTAATAGAATAGCAAAACGTATGGTAAACTTTTATGTTGACATTACACTTGCGGATGAATACAGATTTAAGTTCAATGCACTTCAACATGCTGTCCGAATTATATGGTAGGTGAAATATATGCTTTAGCTTTTGCATATAGTGATATTTTAAAGGTTATGGAAATGTGCCCAACAATGTATTGAAAGTTTATCAGTAATAATTAGCTTTTTGGGAATTTTCATATCAACATCTGGGATTTTTGATGTTGAATAGACTGTGTAATGCGATTCTTTTATGCTTTATGCATGCATATTTGATTTTTTTTTCCTGCTCATAATAAAACATGCAGACTTCTGATTAATCTCACTTCGGCAATAAATAAAATACCTCATTGTTGAAGAAATAATTATTTTAGTATAATTTGTGTGATCAATAATTTGACTCCGTAGTTGCGTATCTGCTTGGGATACATCTAAAACTGAAACATTCTACATAGAAACATCGCTGATTTTACACCAACTAATATTTTATATCCTTGACACCAACTTGGCGAATAATTATTTATTATATTTTGCTTTCATCACCATATGTTTATCAACACATGACAACTTGAATGGTGACTCATGCAGCAATTTTTTGATATTAGTAATTGAATAACAAAGAGTATTATCCGGTTACAGATTTAAGTTAAATGCACTAAGAAATGTTGATGAGGAAAAATTTAACAAAAATTTCTTTCCATATGCTAAAAACAGATTTTGCTAATGATACTCATAGATCAAAAGATTATATTTAGTGCTAATTGAATTAAGAAGAACTCATTTGTGATTCACATAATCCCAGAACTGGCGCCAGAGCTCGTATGACCGCACAGGACGGCAGAATTTAGGAAAGAGAAAATTTTTGGGATTTCGAAAAGCGCTGAGCAACAAAATTAAGGGATGACAAATTTTTTTTTGAATTTTAAGCACTGGGACCCAAAATTTAGGGACGTCAAAAATTTAGAACTTAGGGAGGTGCTTGGTAGCAGAATTTAGGACCACTAGATACAGCATAGAACGGTAAGATATCTAGCGCCGGCCCTCGATTAGCCTTAAGTGTGCAAATTTATTTATTCAAGCCTCAGATCAGCCTTAAGCATGTGCAAAAAATAGACGTAAGTATAATAAATAACTGAATTAATACAATTCAGACTTAACTGCTTCAATGCACGATAGAAGCAAGACAAAATTTAGTGGAAGAACTTATCTTTCATCGTCAATCTCATAATACATAACCAATAACATATAACAGACATAATTAAGTTATGCTAAAATTATACTTTACCGATTCCAAGAAATCTCAATTAATATAGCAGATGGCCCTATTCCTTAATGATCTGATTTGATCCAGCTTAATATTTTTAGCAGGCTGTTATTATTACAGCAATTTTATGAAAATTAAAGTCTGAACTTTCAATTATGTCGAAACGAATTTCTAATTCTGGAGTTGAAAAAGGATTTACAAAGTGAAAGCAATGTTTCAAAGTCCATTAAACAAAAAGTGGAATTGCTACAAAAAATGGATAAAAGTATATCCGTCTCAAAATTCTGAAAGAAGTATGGCATTGGAAAATCAACTGTATATGACATAAGAAAACAGAGAAAGGAATTTTTTGTGATTCCGACATTCCACTTGCAATGAATAGCAGAAAAATTATTTGTTATGCTAGAATGAGGATCATGACAGGTTAACCAAATTTAAAAATCAACATGCTATAAGGCAATTAAAAATTTCAGGTGTAAAAGCTTTATCTTATACTGAAGCTGCTGAACTATTTGCAGATGCATTCATTGAACTCATTAATAGTGAAAAGTTATCTCCAGAACAAATTTACAACGCTGATGAAACTGGTCTTTTCTGGAAACACGTACCTTGAAGTATCTTGGCAACATTTACAGAAAAGGTTCCAGTTGGTGTCAAAAATTCCAAAGCAAAACTAACAATTATAGCATGTACAAATGCTGCAGGAACACAAAGTGTAAACTTTTGATAATCGGCAAAAATACACAACTTCGAGTATTTTTTAAAATTCTTTCAGGGAGTGAAAATTTTCCTTGTTAACAGCATGGATGACACAAGCATTAATGAAAGATTGGTTTGAAAATCATTTCATACCCGAGGCTCGGCAACATTTCAGTTCGGTTGGTTTACCTGATGATGCAAAAATTGTCCTGATTGTAAAGAACTGTTTGGCTCAAACTTAAAGTTTTAGTGAAAGGTAATGTATCCATATTATTCTTTCCTCCAAGTTGTATGTCCTTCATTCAGCCTAAGGATATAGTAATAGTGTGTACACTGAAGTTCAAACATAAAGTAGCATTTTAAAAATTCATTTTAAATTTCTTGAAAAATGGCAAGACTGTTCAAGAATTTTTGAAATATTTTAGCATAAAATTTGCTATGTGGAGCATCACAAGATCATGGAAGGAGTCTACAGATACTTTAAAAAATGCTTGGAATAATTTATGTCCAGCTACAATACCTTCATAGTGAAGATGGCAGCCACAAATGTGAAGGTTTTCAGATATCAGCAAATCAAAGGTGAAATTTTCAATTAATAGATTTTTGTAAAGAAATGTGGAGAAGTGGTATAAATGAAGATGATATAACAGAAGTTTTCATTGCAATGACAAAGCCCCGATCATCAATCAATTAATGGATGGTGAAATCTTTAGTATGGTTCTAGATCCAGAAAATACCGCTACTGATAGTGAAGAAAGTGACAGGTTATTGAAAACGAAAAAATTTCGATTGACAAGTTAGTCAGATTTCTCGACACAGCAATTACAGGACTTGGAACAAAATGGAGCTTTGTAACTGAACAAGAAATTACGTGTGTCTATAGAATTAAAGAGAAAGTATTAGCACAAAAAACGAAGCAACTTAAACACCTTCTATTAAAAGAAATGTTTAGTAGAGTGAACAAATAAATATTATGCCCTTTTTTTGTAAATTTTGACATCATAAATTTTTCATTATTTCATAAATTGTGATTTCATATTTTTTATTTTATAATTTCTATGTTTCATCTTACAAGTTTTAAACTGATGATCTAATATCTGAAAAAAATCCCAAATCTGGAATTGCCGAAGACCCAATGAGTCCAGATCTTGGAATTTATACTGTATAGTGGTCTGAAAGATTCAAATTTTATTCTATTTGTAAATGCAATTCATGCATAAAGCATGAAAAATTATTAAATTATTTCGCTTAAAAAAGTTAATACTTATCTGCAAATGATAGTAAAAAAATTAATTATGCATTTATTGTTAAACAAAATAACAAAAGCTTAAAAATGCTTTTCCTTTTTTTAAAATTTACCTGTTAAAAAATTATAAAATGATCTCGCACCATGAAGCATCAGCAGCTCATATGCATGATACAGACTAATACAAAGTGAGAAATCAGCTAAACATAAACCATAAGAATATTTATCCATGTTCTTTGGTGGATGCTGACTGAAGGCATCTCGCAATTTGAGCACTTGGAATTTTGAAAGAGATGCTGGATTTTTTGGTGTAATAGCCTTCCTTTGACTCAGTCTTTTTAAATACATATTAATAATCTGAAAGGAAAAAAGTTACATATAATGAGAAATAAATCAATAGAATTGCTATAACATTTACAAGAAGCAATAAAAGTAACTCCAGTATTAAAACTAAAAATTACATATTTAATGTATTAGAATGATATAAACGTTAAAATGATAAATATGGATTAGAAAATACCTCACACATATATATTTAAGGTACTACTCTTATATACACCCTCAGGTCGACAAAGATGGCAATATATGTTCTGCACTGGTTTTTGAAGCGATTGTGTGTTCTGCGATGGTTTTGGGGACAATGTTGTTTGTATGGCAACCCTTTTGACCTCAAAACTTATTCTTTCACTGCAGTGATAACCTTGTTCCTTGTTGGTTATTATTTTTTATTTCCTTGTTGGTTCATGTCGTGTGCATTTTGAAATGAAATGTTGCAATGAAAGACAAGGTGGACAAATTTCAGTCTTGTATTTTAGATTGTGTGCAAAGTAAATTTAGTATTAAAAGGTACGATGTTGGAGTTGATAATGAGTCTTTTGTTCACGGGTGTGTTTATGTGAATCAAAGTGTATTTTTGGAATTTCTGTGGGAGTCAGGACTTTTGAAGCGGAGTTTGGCGTGTCCGAAATGCGGAGCTGATATGAAAAGTTGCACAAAGAAGGGCGTTTCTGATAGACTTGTGTGGGTTTGCAGGCAAATGGTTTCTGGTAAAGTATGTGGCTCTCAGAGGAATTTAAGATTTGGATCATGGTTTTCGTGTAGTAAGTTAACTTTGGAGGAAGTTTTTATCATTACCTTCGGAATTTTGAATCGCAGAAAGACGTGTGATATTGCAAAATCATGGCACTTTTGGTCACAGATGTTGTGTGACTGGCAAAATTTTATTCACGAATGTATGCTGGATTTTGTATGCTCTTGACATTTCTGCTGTTCGAAGAACCATTCATTATGGTAAGTGCATTTTATTGTTTTTATTTTGTAGAATGTTATGTTCATTGTTTTTTTTTAGTATGAATTTCTGTCGTTACTGTTTTTTCTTTTTTTTTGAATTGTTTGTAATTTATTTTAGTTTATTTTGTTGATTAGTATGCAATGCCTAGATTGTGCAATTCGTAGATTTTTTTAAAAGTTTAAATAGAACCCTGTGTAGGTGGTATTCTTTGAAATTTATTGTTGTTATGTTAATTTATTTAAGTGAGGTGTGTGTAGTTCGTAGATTCCTTAGCTGCCTAGATTTTGCAACTCGTAGATGTTTTTTTAAGTTTAAACAGAACACTGTGTACGTTGTATTCTTTGAAATTTATTGTTGTTATGTTAATTAAGCGAGGTGTGCGTAGTTCATAGATTCCTTTGTCGCATAGATTGCGCAATTCTGTGATGTTTTTTAAAGTTAAAACAGATCGCTGTGTACATGGATTCTTGTCAAATATTTTTGGTTAGAAACTTTACGTTTTGCAGTTAGTCACCTTTTTCATCACCACTGGTATTTGTTGCTTATTTACTCATGAAATGGATTCAAAATACAAAAACTGAATGCACTGATAATAAACCCAAAATCAAAGTCTGCAATTATTTTAGAAGAGAAGTGGATCACCTCTCAGCAGAATAGAAAAACAGTCTTGTCCTAATATCAGAACAGCCTAAAACAATGCTACTTTAAAAGTGTTAAAATTTTGCCCAAACTTTAAAAAGCACATATAAAACCCTAGAGAAAATGTGATATTTCAAGAATAGATGCAAAATTTTGATCAAAAAATGACATTAAAGAAAAGTAATTTTCTTGCCCATTAGTAACAGCATTTTCTTGAAACATTACAAAAAAATTTTAATTCGTAAAATTTGAATTTCTTTTCCAAAATACTACTTTAGCTATTACAAGCTATAAATCAAAAGGTAATCTGCACTTTTCAAAGGCATTACAGAAAAAGAGTGATGAATAAAACTTTAATTGAATTAGCAACCAACAGCATGTGATACAAATACGCTACTTGCTTGCTACTTAAATGAAAACAGCTTGGAATGAAGATTTCATGCTTATAGTTTGCAACTATAAGTGTTTTGAGTTCCTTACCTTAGACTTATCAATGATAAATTTGTCCAGGAATTTTCTGACATTAACGATGCAACAAAAGCCTTCTCTTTATGCAGTCATATGTATGAAAAATATGAAATCTTTTAAGGAGAAAAAAGATAGCAAAACAAGAGAACTGCAAAAAATTTTAATTTTGAAGATTGTGTTGTACTTAATAAAAGTATATGTTATTTAGAAGTTAAATCAAAGATATTTTAGTTACAATAAAAGATACACGAAATTCATTTAGAAATTTGTGAAATTTCTTCTAAGGAAAGGAAATGCAAGCAAATATTTTACATATTTTAAACTGAAGTAAATGGGATAGTGTTCATCAATGTTACCTAAAACATTATAGCATGGATGATTTTATCAAAAAAGATTAACTTAGGTAAATAACAAATTAGTATTATTATTATCATTTGTATGTTAATGGTAATTAAGAAAAAATCTATAAGAATGATATTTTTTCCATCAATAAAATTTTTAATTACTTAATATTTTGTTATAAATACAAAATTTTAAATTTAAAAATTACAATGACAATTAAATTTGTTGGTGTTTAAAGTTTTAATGCTAAATTAGATATATAAACGATATTTTGCTGACTTCTGAGCAATCTTCCATATAATGATTATTTGTGATAAAAGCCTTTTTGTCAATTTGTAGTGTTTCATTATAATAGAAGTCAATTAAGATATAACAAAAGAAAAAGCATAACCTTTTCACTGCTCTTTGCAATGCAAGATAACATCTTCTTTTTCAATATGTAAATCTTTTTCAGTATTTTTTAAGATTTTACTGATTTTGATTGATAAATTAAAGAGAAACTATTTGAATAAAATACTTTATTAAATTTATGAACTTAAACAGAAGTGCGATTTTTTGTTTTTGTTTTGTGTGTGATATAAGTACCTATGCAAGAATATAACAAATTTACTTAATATTTTTATACACTTTTTAAGGAAAATTTTGAATCAATATGACTTCTATTTGTTATTTTGCTGCTTTCAGTAATAGAGCAATTCCTACACAAGATGTTTTATTTATAATGTAACATTTCATACTTTAAAAATTACTTTATTATATTCGTTTATATTAAGTTTGACCTACATTAAAAAACATAACTTACATCCAAGAATTTGCTTTTCAGTGATGTTAATTTGTCACCCAAGGGAACAACAATCTTCTCAATATCTCTTGCTTGAGTATATTGTTTGACATCATCACTGTCTTCCGTACGCATTTCCACATGGGAAATCAGAAGATTAGAAAGCACTTGTTTAACAGCCTATTAAAAAAAAAAAAAAAAAAAAAAAAAAAATTACCAGGACAATTAGATTTAAAATGATAATATTTAACATCAACTAGGAATTTTACTTGATCAAAATACACACAACTTTAGATTCTATTTTATAAATAAATGTTAAACAATAATAATGAATCACATTCATTATTATTGCCCTAATATAATAACTAAGACTATTAATGTAGTCTTTCTATAACTTAGTGCTTCAGATAAATTATAAAAAACTTAAGGTTATTTAAATTTTTTCAAGGTTAAATTTTTAGGTTATGTGAATATGACAAAGATAACAAGAACTATCTGCTTAAGGGTAGGAAAAGATGCCTTCATGGAAGAAGAGAAATTGGCTCATATTCATGCTGCACGTGGGGAAAACCACAAATGCCAAACATGGACCCGGCCTGTTCAGTTGGATTTGAACCGAAAACAAACTACCAGCATTCAGCAATCTTTAATTGCTTTGCCACTGGTGGGACCCAACAATTTTTAAAAGGAGGATATAAGAGAAAAATGCTAAAGCCTATTCACTGACTTGATTTATTTAGATTGGATAACAGCGGAGAAAATGACACAGGAAGAAATGCAAAATAGTGCAGGTATTGCCAGGGCCATTGCAAGGGTTTTCAACACCCAGAAATGACTGAAGATTTTATGTCCCCTTCTGTTTGCCAAGAATGGACAACATATCGTTCTAAAATTCTGTATCATTAATTTGGTGCCCCCTGGATGCTGTGCCCGGGGACAGATGTTTCACCTTGTTCCTCTCTTAGTTATGCTACCGGATACTGTATTAAACATTTGTTTAAAATTTATTTGTTTAAAGAGTATTACAGAATTTTTATCTGAAATAATTTTCCTGTGTCATTTACATTAACAAATGGGTTAAAATTCTAAAACCATAATAGCAATTAATACATTAATATTTTAGCATAATAAACAACTTCTTGTTTTTCCTATTTTATGAAGGATTGTTTTTTAGGATTTTAACAGATGTCAGATAACAGTTTTCACAAAATACACTGCATAAATTTCAATCTATAAAATTCTGAAACCAACATCTCAATTAAGACAGATATAGTAATAACATATTTTAAGCAATTTACAATTTCTATATGCAACTGCACTTTTTTCGCTCAATTTAAATCTTAAAATGAATGAATTACTTGATAATTTACCTAAGATGATGGTCCTGTATTTTTATGAACCAAATTAATCCAGATTACATTCAGCATTACTTATTCAAAGTTTTTTCTCACCCTCCATAATGAATGTATATATTACATAACAATATACAGAATAAAATATTTTACATTATGTATTGTATTACAGCATTCACTCTATTATATGATTTATTTTTTATACCTGCAGGCATAATAAAATTTAAATAAATACAAACACTTATAGGCTATGATATAAAACAATTTAATCTAATTGAAAATAAAACAGGAATATCTGGGCAGCTACATTTTAGATTAGTTTATTTATCATGACAAAGCACTTAACTACGGGCCTCAGAACAGACATCGTGAATGACCTTCTATAGAAAATTGGTTACAACCTTGTTACGGAGACTAGATTGAGGAATTAAAAATACTCAGAAACAAGGAAATGAAATTTTGGAAAATAAAATAATATAGTATATATATTAACACTATTGTCTGGCATCTGATATTCAACAAGTAAGTTCTTTTTGCTGTTATTGTTGCTGAACCCTATTACAAAGACTTTGTGCTTGGCCAGGAATCAAAATTGGGCCCTGAAAAATCGACTTCATTAATATAATATAGTGAATATCAAGGAATTATTTCGATTCTTAATGTGCATCACTGTTAGTATTAGTCATTTAAGTAACTTCATGATGACTGCATATCAGCCTAATCTAATGTTTGATCTTAAGTTACTGAAGCTATATCTGATTCTCAAGCCACTGAGAACACTTTAATTTCTAACATTTGCTCACACCCAAGAGAGTTGGATACCAATATTAAATATGGTCAAATTTCTCTTCAAAAGCCATTTGAAACAAATATACTATAAAAGTTACACATACAATAAAATAATTTCTATAATACTAGTCAACATTAAAAAGACTCACTTGTGTGTCACTTCCAGGTGTAGCAGTTAAGGCAAGAACACGGAAATGTGAAGTATAGGATAATAATTCATGAACAACCTGATAAAGAAAATATAATTTCAAAACATGACTTTATAAAAATTTATAGAACTTTGAAATATACTTAAATGAATAAATTTTTAATCCTTTTTTTATACTAAGCATGAAATTTTGAATTATTGGGATATTCATTTTCTTTACTTAATATTTATTGATGAAAGAATAATTATAATACTTTGTTGCATTTAAAAATAAACAATTGTATGCTTTTGAATTGTATGAAGTCAATATCCATAGAGGAATGATTTGAAGTTTTCAAAATACCTCTCTCCCTCCTTTCCCCATTAAATTTTGTTAGCAGCCTATTCTAGCATTTTGTATACTGAAAATTTCAGAAGCAGACCACACATAAGGTTATTTTTTTATTCAGTCTATTACTCATTCCCGACTCATTAAAAGGTGATCATTGATTATTGGTGCTGAAATTAAATGTCTTATTAAAAAATATTCTAAAGAAAAAAATATTAATAATGAAATAAAAAATTAATTTATATGCTACGAAAGGAAAAAAAATCACATGCTTTGGTTTTTTTTATTTAATCTTGAAAATACTTCTCAAATTATAAGCTGCCCCTCCAAGTGGCAAAGAATTTGTCTCCAAGCCAAAAACTTCCCCAAAAGACCATGATTAAATGGTATATTCTTAATTATAATTCCAAAATGACACCTCATATTTTGTACCTTGACTCTTTTTCTTCCAATTCCAATGAAATAATTAAACTTACAGAAATTTTAATCAATTATTAAATAACCATAGAATATTTAAGGAAAAACAGATTCTTCAATGCCCACAGGTAGCAAAACAATTGCCTAATGTAAAAAAAGAAAAGAAATGTGATATGTTATCAAATATGGTTTAATATTTGCAATTCTTATTTAACAGTAAAATTCTCTTTCCTTGTAATCATAATACACAAATTTTTTTTAGAGAAAAATCCCAATTAGTAAGTCTCCGACTGTATTGCAGATGAAATGTGCTTTAACCCACATCCTTGTTATTACCTTAAAAAATACATTGTACGTGAGCAAGTCTGGCTTTACCTTGTATTGCTCAAAATACATCCTACTTCTTACATTTATCAAAATAACTTGATAACAATACTTGTTCACAAATGATTATAAATTAAATTTACTTAATTAATTTTATTTCCATTTCAGTAGGATACTTAAATATTTAAACTTTCAATATTTTATCAATAACAACTATTTGGAAGCAAAGGAATCACATTTGAAGATTAATAACTAGAATCTAGCTAATATAAAAGCTCAAAAAGTGTTATAAAGTTTTGATACTTATGTATTATTCCGCTGGTTGTGAAGCTGTTGCCAAGCAGCAGGATTTATCTGCAATTGTACATAAGAGTGACGTAAAAACATACTAATAACATCTGTACTTTTATTTGATGTGACCACAATTGATTCTCAATAAGCCAAATTTTGTTTTTGTGAACAAATATATAAATTAACCTTTACTATACTTTTTCTTGCTTTTAGAGAAAATTACTAAAATTTGAGATCTGTCTTTTACAGAGCAGAAAGCAATGGATTATTTTCAAAGTTATGGGATTCTACCTTCAAAAAAGTACGTATTAATGGACATGATATGGTTAACTGAAAATGGCAGACAAAACAGTCATATATTGGAATGATTTCCTGTGAAAAAAAGAGGTGCCAGTTCCTTCAGAATTCTGCAAAAATGACTGGCAAACTTCAGCAAGTTCTCTGCCAATTTTCGTGGTTCAGTGATAATCAACTTGACCAACGACAACCAACAATTGACAAGATAATACACAAGTACCTAATTTTTTTATAATGAATATTTATATACACATACAAAAAATTTAATTTACTTGGCAGTAAGCATGATTTCCTAATGCTTTGTGAGCTTCATCAACAACAAGACATTTGATATTTGCTGCTGGGCATATATTCCGTACCAGATCATTAGCTAGAACTTGAGGTGTAAGAAAGAATACTCTTTTCTTTAACCAAAGTCGTCTTCTTGTTTCTGGCAAGTTAATACCTGTTAAAATAAATAATTCCCACAATTAAAAATATTAACAAGATTTTTGTTCAGATCTCTTTGCTCACTCTGAAATAATCTGATAATTCATTTAATTATTACATTACAGGTTCACTAGAAAATATCAAAATGTGTGTGTGTGTGTTTCTGTTCTGATCGCTCCAATTCACATATTCAATTACACACTGTTTTGTATTTCATCATAAGATAAGTGTACTAGTAAAAATCTAAATTTATAATGTAATTTGTACTTGCTATTAGTTATTGTATCAAACAGTACTAATTTTTATTTCCATCAACATGAATCATGGGTAAAAGATTTTTTTTTTTTTTTTTTTTTTTTTTGGTTAAAATATGTAATTTAAATCTAGAGATTTGTATGACCAGTAAAAGCTTATAACAACAAATATAATAAGAAAAAGAATAAATTGTAGAATGTATCTTCAAAGCAAAATGTTCTACTGACATTAAACTGCAGTAAATAAAATTTAAATCCTTATGTACCAACACAGCCTGAAAAAGAATATTGATTAATTATGATGAAATGACAATATCTTTATGAATTATAGGACATCTTTTGGTACTTCCTTATTATTATGGCTTTCACTTTTTAAATGCAAAGTTGGTGCTAAGGTTACAGTCAAATTCATGTTTACTTCTCACATATACTTTGCGAATGCTATGTTTTATGAGTGCTTTTAATAAAAGGCATCAGAAGCATTTTCTCATCACAAGAACTATCACCACTTCAGCTACAGATGGTAAGACTTGTAAAAATTTTTATTCCATCATTTAGTAGCATTACAGTTTTTCAACATTTTGTGTATGAGCAACTATTTTTGGATCAACAAAATGAAATTTATGGTTCACAGTAAAATGACTCAACCAACAATTTGAATAAATTACCATCTCTCTTATACATGGCTGATGATTTTTTCCATGAGTATGGTTACCTTTCTTTCTGTTCAGAGTCTACGCAAGAATGAGTTCATCAATTTCTTGGCATAATCCACTAGTACTGTAAAATCCTACCAGCTTTATTTTCTTCCCATGTGAAATAATTGTTAATGCCCACAGTTTTTTCAGGGCCACTTATTTGCTTATATAGTTATCAGATTAGATTCAGAGAATACGTCTCTTTCATAAAACTGTTCCAGTTGCTAGACATATTTTCGTAAATGCTCAGTTTCTTCTTCCACCATTTAATCAATATCAGTTCCTCTGCCTCCAGTAAATAAATGGCTGCATTGCTACAAACAATATTCTGAACCAACTGAACCAGTTTTTAAAATGTATATCTTTTTCTCACTTGAAACTTTTCACATTGCAACTCCAAATATTTTTATTGATATGTGGTTTCAATTAATCACCATTTTCACATATTTGAATGTGATGTAAAATGCTCCTCACTTGGCAAATCAAACATTCTTTTTTTGAAATGAAAATATGCTAACAGACAGAATATTCAGAGCTCCTCTCATGATGAGAAAATTACAAGCGACTGTGAAATGCTAACATTTATCTGTAAAAAAATAAGATGACACATGGTTTATTCAGAGGTCTTGTCATTGTGAACAAATTATGAATGATCATGACAAGAACTGCTGAAGTCCATGTAATGATCATTCATAAGAAGTAAGATATAAGAAGATTCATAAGATCACTCAGGTAAGCCATTTGAAGATGATTTACATTGGTGAATTACCGATATAATCTTGGCTTACAAAACGGGACAATAACAAGGAAATACCTATCTTTGAATATCGGAAATAATAACTTATTCAATAATCTCTCTACTTGACATTATGAAAGTTGTCATTTTTCATCTAATGTCACAGGATTTAAATAATCTGCGCAGTATCTGTAAATAAAGCCTCTCAATTTCAAATGGCTTATCAGCCAATGATTCTGCAGCTCTTCTGATCTCATATTCAACTATAGTGAACCAAAGGACATAAAATATAACAGAAAAAATAAAAAGTGATGCTCATTCAGACTGCAAAATACAGTCAAAAGTCTTTAATTCAGACACCCATAATCCGGACCTCAAAGCTGCGTAAGACCTACGGCTGCGAATATGCACGTGCGCATGCGCATAATACGTTTACGCATGCGCGTTTAATGTATAACGGACAATATAAACTAAAATTATCTAATTATCTATTTCAGTTAATGTTGCAGATTGCATTGTTCCTTAATCTTCTAATTGGATCCGGCTTATTATTTTTTGCAGACTGTTACAGCAATTTTATAAAAGTAAGCTTGAACTTTCGATTATGTCAAATAGAATTTCCGATGCTGGAGCTCCCAAAGGATCTACAAAGCGAAAGTATGTTTCGATGTCCATCAAACAAAAAGTGGAATTGCTGCAAAAAATGGATAAAGGCATATCCTTTGTTTCTCTAACCATTCCAAAATCTTTATCAATTTCACGCTGCTCTGTGGCAGGGGGGGATGTCGCAGCGCGCAATGAATTGGAAGTTGATCTGTCAGCACTATCCTTATCTTCAGGGCAGATGTTTTTATTTTATTTGGCTTATAATTCCTTACTAAATGTAGTATTTCATCTCGATGTACTCCATCTTTGATATGATTTAGATCAAATCTTATTTCCGATATTCAAAGATAGGTATTTCCTTGTTATTGTCCCGGTTTTGTAAGCCAAGATTATATCGGTAATTCACCAATGTAAATCATCTTCAAATGGCTTACCTGAGTGATCTTATGAATCTTCTTATATCTTACTTCTTATGAATGATCATTACATGGACTTCAGCAGTTCTTGTCATGATCATTCATAATTATAATTCACTTCCGATAGTGAAGAAAGTGACACAGAGGTTATCGAAAACAAAAACATTTCGATTGACAAATTAGTCGGTATTCTCGACACAGCAATTGTAGGACTTGAACAGCGGAACTTTGTAACTAAGCAAGAAATTATGTCTGTTTAATAATAAAATAAAGAGAAAAGTATTATCACATGAAAGAATGAAACACTTACATTGAAAGAAATGTTTAATAAAGTAAACAAATAAATATTAAAGCTTTTTTTTTTGTAAATCTTGATACACTTTAGATCATTTTTGTTCCTTATTTCATAAATTATGGTTTCATATTTTTAATTTTATAATTTCTGCATGCCATCTTACCAGATTTAAATTGATGATCTATAATTCGCAATCGCCAAAGTCCCGATGAGTCCGGATTAACGACTTTTGACTGTATATCAAACAGAGCAAGCACAGAGCTCTGAAACTCTCAATAACAAAGACACTTATTCCTAGCAAGAACTATATCTTCATATAATAAGAACAATTAAGTATATTTACCTTTGAAAGCTAACTGAATACTGCTTATATGCCTTTAATATTCAAATGTTGATTTATAGCTAATATTGTTAGTAATTTATAATGATATTAAGCTTTTCCTAGATTATTAATAAATATTAGCATTTAATATTACACTTGGTCATAAGTAAGTAGCATACAACTAAGCTACCAGTCGCCTCATAGTTTATTTCAATTTTTCTATTTTAAACTATATTAGCAAATCTACCAAAAACTCATTTAAATGAATGAATTTTTAATAATATCCTATTTAGTAAATTGAACAAAAAATTCAAAATCTGAAGCTACAATAAATGCCTAAATATATGGCATTCAACTAATTAGAAGCTATGCCTTTCCACACTGTTAAGGATCTTATTAAAAGATTTTTCAAAAGTATGTGCTCAGAAAGATCTCTATCATCGTGTTTCTCATAAGTCTTGGAAGAATGCTATCTTGAATTTGTGTAACGGCCCAAGGCATAGAGGGGTCGTTGAATTCCGCCTTACCACAGGACATGACTACCTACGATATCATCTCCATAGATTTAAAATTATTCTTCTCCAATGTGCAGCTCTGAAGATGTGATGGACGCCGTACATTGTCTCTATTGTCCTGCTCTGCACAAGACTTTTCTTGCCGAACATTACTGGGAGGCAAGAGCCATCTTACCAGGATGAATTATTGGAATGTTGATTAATTTAATGTGAAATTAATGGAATGTTGCAGCTTTATTTTTTTTTAATATTGTGTTGTTGAACTGTGTTCTTGTTTTTTGCTGTAAACTACTATGCCAAGAATTCGTTCTTAGAACTAGATATTCCATATACAAAGAAAGTGGGAAATTAGCATGGCATGGGAATATGTGAGAGATTCGAAAGTTTATGACAGGAATTTAGTCTGTCTACAACAAGAACTACGCTTGCCAGTATGCTTAGCATTTACCATTTTTGATAAACAAAAACTGTTACCAAACAATGTGATCTAGTGGCAATGATAAATAAGCTAAACATCAAAAAATAATCATAAGATTTAAATTTTTTTTTTTTTTTTTTTTTTTAAGGAAGGCTGTAAATTGATCTCTATCTTCCCCCACATTTTGGGGGTGAGGAATTAAAATTTGGGACACGCTTTCAATGGAATAGCATGAAGTGGAGTATCCCTCCACCTGAAAAAAAAAAAGATTCTGCCATCAAGAAAAATTTATGTTAATAGGCACAACTGACTTTATTTGAAAACAAATAAATGATGGCAATGCAAAATGTAAAATGAAGACAAGTGATTCAAGTTTTTATGTGCTAGATCTATAACTTACACATATATATATATATATATACACTGGTGTGCAAAAATTAAGGACGAGATGGTTTTTTCAATATAAATTTGTACAAAAGCTTTCCAAATCAACACATTTAATACAGTAAGATCCCCAATACGTAAGGACATGAGTAATGTAAGCAACACTTACTAAAAGAGAAATCAGAGGGATAAAAAGAAGCTTTATTGAAAAAGTAGCATGGAGCGCAATGCGACTGAAGGCCGAAAAAAATCCCTGTGTGATGGGTGTCCAGAAAGAAAACATCCGGTCTTAATAGGGGATATGATCTCCCCTGACTGCTAGGCAGGTTTCACAGCAATTGCCCATGCTGAGAATGAGGGTGTCAATGAGTT